CTCATAGTTAAATTATGAGATTAAACAAAAAGATCCAAAAGAGGCTTGGTAAAGATAAGCAACCTGAATTATAGATTACATCTATGTTGAAATAGTTGCACTCTTTTTTTTTTAAATGAGCACTTTTGACTGCATGTACACACATTTTCTTTATGTCTCTCCTAATAGTTTAAATTTGTAATGCACAGTTTTATAGCTGTTTTATATCAAAGTTACATATAACTATTACAGGACACTCCACTCTCTCAACCAAGAAGATTAATTGCATGCTGCACGGATCAAGATTTCTGTAATAAAGATCTTCATCCTACTCTGCCACCCCTAGAAGATCAAGGTAACAAAGGATGCCAATGCTAATTTCTAGTCTATATCTAATTTTCTTTTTTAAAACTGGGAAGTGAAATTATAATGTAAGCATTTTGTATGCTGCTGTTTTTTCATTCAGCCTAAATGTGTCTTAAGATGGTTTCCTAAACAGTTCGGTCCTCTGAAGTCAAGAAAATCTATCTCTATGCTGTAGCCTTAAAACACAGCAGTGAGTTATTTTGATACTTGTTTCTATTTAGCTAGATAATTGGTTAATATGCCTCAAATTTCTATATTCAGTATGTAATCCATACTGTTTTCAGTAGAAATGGCTTCATTTTAAAAAGACATTTTACCTTGAAAAGCATGTGAAATTTTGTTTTGTGTAGTTACTTGTGAACACATTCCTGTTTAGATTCTCTTCCTTTACTCATTTATATGAAGAGTCCCACCCAATCAAAGATTGTGCAGTAATTAAGTTGATGTCCAGCTCAGTTCAGTCAGTTTTTTATGGTTGTAGACTAGTACAAGAAGTGTGTCCATGAGTGATCTGTGAGTACTTATAAATTTATTTTAAGAAATCAATAAATAAAATTTGAGACAAAATTAATAAAGCAACCTGACTAGAACCCATGAATAAAGTCCAAAAAGAGCAATCTATATCTAGTTATAAGTGAGGTTGTATCTAAAATTACATAAAATGTGATAATGTCTAACATTACTAAAATTACAAATAATATCTAAAATTTATGTAGAGTGATGATATCTAAAATTACATAAAATTAATAATATTTGAAATTACATAAAATACATCTATGTAGCAAGAGCTTGGCCTATCAAGGTCTAGTAGATCTTACATCTTACCTAGCCATGTGCCCTGTAATAAATGGCAGATCATCTGTAAGCAACATCTGGGCATAGACTGAGTCAGAGCAATCAAGATATTTGCTGATCAGAGGGAGGATAAATCTGGTTCAAATGTCTCTCTAAAACGCACAAGAAAGAAGAAAGTGTGTTGTGGTTTCCACCTTTCCAGAATCACAGGGGCAATGAGTTGATGTCATAGAACTCTTTAGCTTATTTTGCTGTATGACAGTTCGCTAAATGATCATTTTCTCAAGGAAAGCTAAGATGTTCTGTAAAGTAAGAGCTTTAGCACTGCTGGAAATCTTAATAAAATTCTGAACAGTTGGTTTATCAGGAGTCAGCTGTTCCAAATCCTCCAATTGATTATTCTGAAAATGAAGAATTAAAATCTCCAGCTCAGTATTTTCTTTCAGGAAACAACCTTTTCAAAGACAGTTTCCAAACACAACTGTTTGTCACTTGTGTGAAAAGTAGAATAAATTTCGCTTTTGATTCAGGAGGCTGATGACCCATGATCATATCTCAGGGGAAGGTAGGGTCTAAGGAAATCCTCCAGTTGTAGGTCAGAGATAGTTAAACTATAAATTAACCCAGTTACAGAGGTGATGGTAGGAAAAGTAAAGATATTGTACTCTGGAAGTGCTTTTCCATGTACTAGGAATGGAAATGATCATTTTCTAAATATGAAAGGAATGAAGTTGTGTACACATGGATATGCCAGAATGAGGAGTGAAAGCTAACAAAACACAAGGGCATAAAAAGTCTTAATATACATGAAACAAGATAAAAACAGAACATTCAGCCCCATTCGATGTTCCTCATTCTATACAGCTTTCCTGCACAGTAAACTGAAATGTCCTTATGCGAACAAAAAGACCATATATGGTTAGGCAGCAAGTTTATTAGGCAAGCAGGAAAAACAGTCAGTTACCACTATAATGTTGGAAAATATTGGAAATCTCTCTGAAAAAGCAGGTTTCAGGCAGAGAAGATGAAACATTTGTCTTTACTGATTTAACACTCTTTTAAACAGAAATGGTGGTGCCACCATGTCTGGCGCTCTGCTTGAATGGCTGATGATTGAATAAGTGGGGCGCTGATGATACAAGAAGAAATTGAGTTTGATAGGCTTCCATTACAAACTTATCAGGCTTTAGGTTGCAACTGCAAAAAACCTGAACACTTTCAGTTTGGGAATGAAGAAAATAAGTTGGGAAATATTAGATATTTCTGAAATGTAGAGGGGTTTCTTTAGATACATCTTTCCAGGAGATTGCATTCTTGGATAGAAATATTGAAACTGACTTCTGGGGGAAGCATGATGAACTGAAAATGCCTGCACAAAAGTGGAGCTGATGACCATGCCAAAGACCGAAGAACCAGTGAGTAGACCAGTTCTTCGGAACCTCTCTGGATAAGGAGAGGACAGGAGATTACCCACACGTGTTCTGGACAGCTGTTCCTTATGAAGAAACCACAGGACAGAGATCTTTCATGGGTTTGAGCGAGCCAGGAGACAATGGAATTAGCCATATTGCTCACAATAGTGGCAGAGCCTTTTAAAGGACATTAAGTTTGCAAGCTTCACTTTCTAATCATTTTTGAAAATTACCTCTTAACCATCTTAAAGCTATTAGAGACCTTTGGAACGATAAGTTTGAAAAGTTGCCGGGTGAGTTTAGGTTCAACTCTGAGCAAAAGAAAAATTAATTACAAGCTTAAGAACTTAAAAAATTTTAAATAAACAGCAAAAAGCTAAATAAGATTTTGATCTAAGAAAGTTACAAATGGAGTAAGGATCCAGTTAAATTTGGAATATTGACTTTTACTATAAGATTTTGAAATTAACTATAAAAAGTAAATAGCTTCTCATGGGAACCAGAGTTATTTTGGCTGTCTTAATTCATAATGAAGATAAGCAACATTATGATTTTAGAAACTTGACACTAGAGGGAACTAAAGATTCTAAGTAGAAGGGAAAAAAATACAAGCCAGGTTTTGGTGTTGGTTAACTGGGAGTTAAGAAATGACACAAAACATAACATTGGAAATATTAAAGGAGATCTTTGAAGAATGGAGCCAGAAATTAGTAGCTACAATATCAACATTGTCAGCAATGATGTCTGCTTCTATGGATAGACTATGCCTAAAAGATGTCAATGAGGGAATGACAGATATGGAGCAAATTTTGTCTGATGAGACAGGGAACCTACCGAAAGTGGAACTACAAATGACAGGCCAAGAGAATGATTTGGAAAAGTGTGCTTTATTGGATATACAAAAGAAACTGGCTGAAGTTTTAAAAATGAAAGGGGAAATACAAATGACAAACCAAGAGAATGACCTGGAAAATGTTTTCTTATTGGATCTACAAAAGAGGCTTGTTAAACCCTTGGAGAAATCTCTGCGATGGGATAGAGAAGAATTGAAGAGAAATCAAATCCTACGACAATATTTGAGTGAACTAAAGATTAAGACTGTTAGAGGAAAAAGGAAGGAATTTAAAGTTGGTTATTTGATCAAGGTTAAAATAAGCCATTTATTTGCAACATTCTGGCAACCCTTTATGGACTTTTTGCTGGCACCAGGATTGAAAAGTTTATATTTTATGGATTTGCTTATAGATAAGGGATGGGATATGGGATGAGGAGAGATCTGTTTGTAACCTTATAGGGGGTGAAGAGTTACTAAATTTGTCTGTAATTGTTGTAATGAATGTTGGAAGTCACTTCTTTATACATTTTCTTTTCCTTTTC